AATCCCCATCCCTGGAAGTGTCCAAGGTCAGGTTGGATGGGGCTCTGAGCAACCTGGTCTCGTGGAAGGTGTCCTTGCCCATAGTGAGAGGGTTGGAACTAGATGATCTTCAAGGTCCAACCCAAACCATTCCATGATGCTATGAAGAACCTTCTTCACACACAGGTATTATGGAAAGACACCAGTTCCTATACATTGCAGAAAGATGCAGCCATGGCTTGGGCCAGCCAACCCAAACCAGTTTAGTTGGCTTGGGCCAGCCAACCCAAACCAGCACTGTAAAGAGCAATAAAGATGGCCCAACCTGAGCTTTTAGGGTATGTTTTCAAGCAAAATACACAGGTGCCAGCACAGTAGGCTGCTCCCTCACTTCACACCTGCTGAAACTGTGCTGCTGTGTAGTCACTGCTCTGTGTCATTACTGCTATTGTTAACCACTGCTAATTAATGCTACCTGGGTTTGCCTCTACACGCTGCTGTCACTTCACTGTATAGGCAAGCCCCAAGGTCCCAATCCTGTCACAAATCTTAGTGGAGTCCTCTGTCTCAGGAGCAATCTGAGAGCTGGTATGACCATTTTGGGGCATGCAGCAGTTTGTGCTCACTGGAGGAAAGTCACCCAGTAAATGAGCCAGTGAATTCTGCACAGCTGCAGCTGCTTGGCCGATTGTCAGTGGAGCTATAAGCAAAAAAAAAACCAAAGGGAAGGATTTCCAGAAATAAGGATACTGCAGTCAGTGAAAGTGGGATACTGCAGTCAGTGAAAATGAACTAGCACAGATTTACAAAGGGCTGCCCAAGTGCTACTCTGCGTGTACTTCCCATTTGCCATAAATGTTCTGACTTGTTTGCATCCCCTTTTATAGTATCTCAGACCCTATTACACCTTTGAGCTCTAAACCACTTGAATTAAGAATTTCTACAGGAGACTTGAAGGGGTTTAGAAGCATCAAAGAAAAAAAATGCAGACGCAGACTTTAAAGCTGCTTAGCTGGAAAGAATTGCCAGAAAGTACCTTTTGTGCTAATGTCAGCCAATCTTTCTAAACGAATTTTGAAACAGTTCATCATCCATCCCCCCTCACCTCCTTCCAGTTTACAGCAGTCACTGTAAACACAGCTAGGCAGATGGCAGAACACTTCCCTTTTAAGAAAGAAGACAGTGTAACTTCATACCTCTCTAAACTTCACTATATTTGGTAAAGGTTTGCATTGTGTGACCACCATAGGAACAGTAGTGGTCATTGCTGAATACCTTGAAGCGCTAAGAAAATTAATCCACCACCTAAAAAAAAAACCAACATACAAAGCAAGTAGATTGCAGCCAGCTAAACTCTTTAAAATATTGTTAAATATCAGGAGCAATCAGGAATAACCCTTCAGTGCTCCACTGACTTTAATAACAGCTGCACTGACTTCCTTGGCATCTCACCTTGTCTCCACATGACCAAATGAGGGATTTTGTTTGATAAGAAAGAATGTGGCACACTAAGCACCAACGAGGTAAGAGCCTTACACCAACCTCAAGTTGTCACGGGTTCAGTCTTATAAAGCTTAGGCACACACCATACAGAAATGAAGAGCCTTAAAACAAAGTAGGTGGTAGAATCATAGAACCATCAAGGTTGGAGGAAACCTCTGAGATCATCAATTCCAACCATCACCCTGTCAGTGCTGGAACCCCTAAACCAGATCCTCCAGTGTCAGATCCAGATGCCTCTGAAACACCTCCAGGGATGGTGACTGCACCACCTCCCTGGGCAATATTGCAGTGCCTGAACACCTTCACAGGGAAAACATTTCTCCTCACATCCAATCTGAATCTCTCCTCTCTGTTTATGACCACTTCCTCTAGTCCTCTCCCTGCAGCCCTGGCAGGACACACACCCCCCACCTCTCTCCAAGCCCTGACAGGGAGTTGTAGAGAGCCAGGAGGTCACCCCTGAGCCTCTTCTTAAGGCTAAATAAACCAAATTCCCTCAACCCTTCCTCAAACAGCATGTTTTCCAGACCTTTTCTGCCCTTGGCTGGACTCATTCCAGCACCTCAATGTCCTTCTTAAAGTGAGAGGCCCAAACCTGAGCACAGCACTCGAGGTAGTCAGTTGACATTAGACTTTGCTCAGTAAACTCAACAAAAGCACCACTAAATTACTTTAGACCAACGAAGGATGAACTCAAATACCACCACAAAAGCAAATTCTCTTAAAAAGGGCAGGACAAATCACTTCTAGTAAAAATGTAAAGGGTGCTGGGCAAGCTCCTTTTAACAGACAAGTTGGGCTTGTAGACACAGGCAAATCTCACAGCGTATGCAGGACAAACCTCAAAAGTTTCAGCCAGTTAAACAAGACTCACCAGGCAAAACCATTAAATTCTGACACACAAACATTTGCAAGACACCTTTTCCAGCTGAAGAACAAGGTGTTCAACCACAAGAAGTTGGTGAGTAACAAGTCACAGGTCTCTACATGCTGTGTTCTAAGAACCAATTTTCACTGCTCTAATGGAAACAGAAGCATCACAATCCTCTGATGGCAGAAAACTTGGCAGAGAGAAATTTCAGAGCGTTAAGAGAACCTCGAAGACACCAAAGAAAATAAGGCCAAATTTCAAGAAGTTGGTAATTCTGGGGACTGCTTTCATCATGAAAAGAATACAGAGACTAGAACTCTATCTAGAAGTTTTATAAAAGCCCTAGCAGCAGTGGTTGGGATTTGCTACTTGTCTTGGTAAGCAGATGACAAAACCAATACAATGTTTAATAACAGGGTTTGGGTCCCTTTTGTTATGTTATTTTGTTTTCACAGAATCATCAAGGTTGGAGGAGACCTCTAAGATCAAGTCCAACCATTATCTGCCACTATGCTGAAACCCCTAAACCAGATCCTCCAGTGCCAGATCCAGATGCCTCTTAAACACTCCAACAGATGGTGACTCCACCACCTCCCTGGGCAATATCCCAGTGCCTGAACACCCTCACAGGGAAAACATTTCTCCTCACATCCAATCTGACTCTGCCCTGGCTCAGCTCAAGGCCATTCCCTCTATCCTCTCCCTGCAGCCCTGGCAGGACACACATCCCACACCTCTCTCCAGCCCTGGCAGGGAGTTGTAGAGAGCCATGAGGTCATCCCTGAGCCTCTTCTCAAGGCTGAACAAACCCAAGTATAAGCAAATATTACATTTATGACAGAAAGTTACGAGAAAGCACATGATCAAAACCTAACACAGCAGACTCTGAAGACGACTACCTACCCAGGTTTTAAACACTGTTGAGTCAAACGACTTCTTCAAGTTGAAACATCTTTTCACATGAAAGGAATTTGCAACTTTAAGGTCTACACAGAAAAAGAACTGCCCAAAAGCTTCTATAACTTGGACTGAGATACTTTGGAGGAAGCTGAGACAGGAGAAAGTCAGATTAGATGTTAGGAGAAATGTTTTCCCGGGGAGGGTGTTCAGGCACTGGAATATTGCCCAGGGAGGTGGTGCAGTCACCATCCCTGGAGGTGTTTCAGAGGTGTCTGGATCTGGCACTGGAGGATCTGGTTTAGGGTTTAGAGGTTCCAGCAGTGACAGGTTCATGGTTGGACTTGATGGTCTTAGAGGTCTCCTTCAGACTTAATGATTCTGTGATTCAAGGTGTGTGATGGCTAATGAGTGCTGAGATACCTCATAACACGCTTCATTAATTCTTTTCATTTCAGAGTGGGCAGTTATACCACCATCATGAGTGGAAGCAAACCACTGCCAGTGTTCCAGCTCTTCTGACCATGATGACAAACAGTTGTAGTTATTCTGACTCACTGGAATAGTGAGAAACATTCTGCCTTCCCCATGTCTTACTCTCCACAAACAGTATTGGTTTGCATAATGAACATTTAGGTTTGCAGCAGGTAAAAGCAAACTTGGAGGGTAATGAAAAAAAAATTAAGTTGGCATTTTATTACACTGAGATTTCTTAGTGACAGTAATTACTGCCTGAACTATAACAGGCTGGTAAAGCTGGACAGCTTGCATAGGTATTTTTAAATTAAAAGACTGAGAAAGGTGACACAGATAGTTTTAAACACAGAAATAACTGTTTGTTTAGCAAAAAAAAAAAAAAAAAAAAAAAAAAAAAGCCAGTAGAAAAATAACGAACACATTTACATCCATTTATCCAAGGCCACCTCTTCATGAACAGAAGGGAGCAAAAACAATAGTATCTAGGTATAAAGCAGTTCAAATTCTCTCTGTTCTCTCTACATCTACTCCAAACAGCAACTCCAAAGTTTATTTAGCTTCTGTTCCCTTAAAACATTGTTCTCGCCTCAGACCAAGGAGAGAAACTGAATGTGTCAAACTTCAAGCCATCAAGTCCAACACTCTTCCATGCTGCTATGGAAGAAAACATACAGATTGAGCAAAATAAAGCTGGCAAACTAACTGCACAGCCTGTGGTTCTGATTCTGAACTTTACAACAACAGGATGTACACAAAACTGTGGTCTATGAAGTGCAACTGGCCACAGGCAAGAGCTAGGCCATGTGTTCAACATAAACCTGAGGGTCTGAGCTTCTCTTTATAACAAGATTAGCCCAGGCAAATCTGCCAGAACTGGATTTGACCATTTTTATCTGTTGCAAAGACCACATAAAAAAAAGTAAATAAAGACCATGACATTTTGCAACAGAAAAATTAAATACAAGAACCAATTAAAAAACCTGACATTTTGCAACAGAAAAATTAAATATAAGAACCAATTAAAAAAAACCCAAACACCTAAGAACCCCAAAACAGAGATCAGCCTACTAATGAGGCAACAACTTCTACAGCTAGACTGGAGAGATCTAGTCATCACCTGTTAGAAACCAATATGCAAAGGCTTGGAAATTTATTTTCATCATCCACAATCTACTGCAGGGAATATGAATAAACTCCAGCTGTTCTTCAGGATGACAGAGGGCATCAGACTAGAAATCTAACAATTCCAGACACAGACATGTTGTTAAAGTGGTATTTCTGAAGCCTTGGAAGCAGATGAACAAGCTTCCATCTCTGTCAGCAGTTCTGAGGACAAGGTCTTAGTGCATTGAAGGATCTTCGTTTACATTTCCTCAAGGCTCCTCTTGATAGCTTCTTGCAATTCTGCATCTTGCTCTGTATAAACAACAAAAAAAACAAACCCAGATTGTAATTTTGAACTGTGGTTGATAAGGTAGTTGTGTTTGTAACTAGTTAATGTCACTACATAAAGCAACAAACGATTTCTGTGGGCAATGTCAGTAGGCTACAAAAAATCCAGAGAAATAGAAGAAAATATCTTCCCTCTTTCTGTTTGATGCTATCTTTTCAACACTTCAAAACATGAAAACCACCTCTACAGCTTTCCACTACATTAATGAGGAGCAATGATTACTTTAAGAGCAACTATGGATCTAATGATCAAAATAAAATCAAGATCAGAACCCATATGTATGCACCAAGTATTCCCATACCTACATTCTAACTTGGCACCACCATTGTTACTCTTACTAGGTAGGTCAGACCAGTAGAGAAATCCATTATCCACAGTAAGACCAGTCCAGGTAAGGACTGCAACATTTCTGATGGTGGGGAGGAAGACCCACCTCATTGCACTCCTCTGACTTGTTAACAACCTCTCAAACAGCTTTGATGATACTCAAAAAAGAAACTCTGATTTGGCATTACATATAGATAGTTTTGGGCACTGATTATTTGGTGTCAGTGGATTAAATATGGTAAGTTAGACAAGATTTGTATGTACAGCAAATATTAGCATCAGTAGTATAGCTGGAAAAATAAAAACAGCTTTCAGACACACTTGTTCTTGAATTATTCATCTTCTGCTTTAGGAGGACACAAGCACACCCTACAAAAAACCCAACTGTCTGTTCTTATGACAAAGGAAACAGAATTTTAAAACTTGAATTATTGTTGGACTGTTTTATTCAAGGCCAAGATTTGGAACAGTATCCATGGTTGAGCAGCAGATCCCAGAGAGTTGTGATCAGTGGCACAGACTCTAGTTGGAGAACTGTCACTAGTGGTGTTCCCCAGGGTTCTATACTGGGCCTAGTTTTGTTCAAGTTGTTCATCAATGACTTGGACAAGGGGACAGAATTGCCTTCTCATCAAGTCTGCTGATAATACAAAACTGGGAGGAGTGGTGATAGCTCAGAACTGTGCTGCCCTTCAGGAGGACCTCGACAGGTTAGAGAGATGGATAGAGCAGAACCAACTGAGATTCAACGAGGGCAAGTGCAGGTCCTACCCCTGGGGAGGAATAACCCCAAGCACCAGCACAGGTTGGCACTGACCTGCTGGAGAGCAGCTCTGAGGAGAAGGACCTGGGGGTGCTGGTGGACAACAGGCTGGCCATGGGTCACCGTGTGTCCTGGGGGTGCTGGTGGACAACAGGCTGGCCATGGGTCACCGTGTGTCCTGGGGGTGCTGGTGGACAACAGGCTGGCCATGGGTCACCGTGTGTCCTGGGGGTGCGGGGGACAACAGGCTGTCCATGGGGCACAGTGTGTCCCTGAGGTGCTGGGGACAACAGGCTGTCCATGGGTCACAGTGTGTCC